CTCGGACTGGCAGCCTGGCAAACTACGGCTTCCTTTCCGATCTTCCAACTGCGTCGGAAAGCCATGTTCACCGGCACGGAAAACTGGTATTGCGAACACTCTATGCAAAAACTTAGCAATGCGAAGACAAGTAGAGCATGCAGCTTGCCAGTCTGTTCCAAAGGATGTCGGTGCCCATGTTGCGGCAGCCGACACGCATTCGCTCATGTTCGGCGGCCGAAGGGCCTCGTCGACATTTTCCACGATCTTCTTAACTTCTCCTTGGCTTCCACATCCGCCACACCACAATGCACTCACAGCCACTGCTAAGGGACCGCGCTGTTCCTCCAACCTGGGTTTAAGGGATAGAACCGTACTGTTGATAAGAATTGAATGAAAAAAACCTGTGAACAAACCATGAAACAACCAAATGGAGGCATCTAAGCCTTCTCAACCGCGAAATAAAGAACATTCAAACAACTTCTTTGCCTCGGTATTGTCGACCTCCGCCTGTCAACTTGATAGATAAAAAGCATTAAAAAGCTGGAAACAAAGGACCGATTGTCCTCTTGAGCCTACACGATCACACTTTGCACAAGGTTAAGGCAGCACTAGCATCACAGAGGCCACATGGAAGTTGATCAATTATGATTCGTAGCCAAGTCAAGACATCCGGCATCCGCCACTTTTCCGAGCGGTTCCTCATGCTGCGGTATCAGGAAGTCAACGTCACATTAAATTGAAAGCTTGCCTGCTCCTGGACATCTCCCCGTCCTGCTACATAAATTAGATGTTTCCGCTCTCGCTAAGAATGAGAAATCTGGCAAAAGCTCCTGCTGAGGGCCTCTGTCGATGCAGCCGAGCCTCGTTTTTGTCGCGTGACAACCTCTGCCGGCAATCGTCTGTTGAGAGGATTCGCATCCTCTCCAGACATGCCCTCGTATCGGGCCGCTGGGGCGCTTCTACTCTGCAAACTCTGAGCCGAAACCCAGTTCCCGCCGCTGTGACACTGAGCTCTACAGACTGGACCACTTTTGGTCACAACTCGTGATTCAGCACCGTTCTGTTCTGCTACTTCTGGACATGCTGATGTGGACTAGACAAGGGAATGGGCGATGGGCCTCGTTCAAAGCGCACCGACACCTCCGCAGTCCCATTGCTCCAAAATGTAAAACAATAGTTGAAAGATCCTCCTCACCATTCTTGACCATGTCCGTCGAACTGAAGAGGTGCTGCTGAACATGACTACGCGGGCTACGATTTGCGAAGCAAAGCCGCAAGGCGCGCAGACGGCGGACGGGGAATAAGCATGCAGCCATGTTTTTCATGTACTGTCTGAAGACCAAGTCGTCCCATTGCACTTCGTCCCACTCAAGATACACACGAACAGCACAATGTGGAAGCTGTGGCAAGCGCCCATGGCAGTTCCGCCGACCTCGTAAAAGGCTTTGCGACGTCTCCGCTCCCATCAAAAATCAACAGCGTCACCTGGATCATGCTAGGCTGAGAATCCAGACATCCTTGGCCACCAAATACTTCCTTCGTGGCATGTGCCAGCAACAAAATATTAAGTAAGGCCAACTCGGATTAAGGTCATGACAGCTTGCCCTCTACAAGTTGGATGAGCAGCTCCTGCAAGGCTTGCAATGGCATCAGTGGGCTGGCGCCTGACAGTCATACTGGAAATGATATCCATCAACGTCGTTTCTCCGCGCGCCCACTGCCTCGAACTTGCATCTCCGTCTCACCGCAATTTGTAGGCACACGTACCCTTAGTCTCGGTGTCGGACGGGTCGTCAGGAGCATCCTTGCAAGCTCTCGCAAGCCTAAAAGCGACTATGCTGCGAGCATGCTGGGAGAAGCCTGCCTCCATTTTGGCGTCCATGGGTGAGTGCGGCCAAAGACTGCAAATTTACGTGGCGATTTTTACAGTGTTCGATGTCGACCTCGTGCTGCTTACTATCTGAATTATCTGAACATCGACATCTTCCAACCTGCTTGTTTGAATCTTCACACTTGTCGAGCCAAGTCCTTGGTCTGTTCCGCGAGTTACTCTTCACCGCAGAGCCTGCGTGTAGTGCCCCAAACCCTTTTTGACAAACCCTTGAGGGCTTCGGCAACAGCCCGCTGGTAAATGGAGGCGCAACAGCTGCACAATTTCAGAGAGCCGAGCGGTGGTTGCCGAACGGGTCGAACGCCCAACGACTGTTGCATCTGCATGGCACGAACCACAAAGGAACATGAGGACTGAACGGTTGACAAACCCGTCCTCACCCCCCCCGCCTTACCACCGCACAAGTCCGCCGCTATGAAACATTCGATGTTTGGCAACTGCTTGCACGCACTGCAAGCATGTACTGCACAGCCTCGTTGCAATTTTACCAAAGTGTGCTTACAGCTCTCTGTGCCATCCACGTGGCTTTTCCGTACATACACAGATGGTCTGAGTATACTTATATATATGTATATACATATGCTTATACAGCTATTTCTGTTGCTCTTTCGTCACACCTCCCCCCCATGATCCAGCCGAGCCTTCTTGTCAACTGTTCGTCTACAGTACTATGTCTCCAAGTGCTTTCTTCGAGGTCCATAAACCATCGGTATTTGCGAAGGTTTCTGGACTTCATATATGCTGACCTCTCCTTATTGCGCTCTGTCTTGGTATATGTAACTTTACCACCTTTTTACACCTGGACTTTACCACCTAAAACCCAAACCTGGATCTGGTTCTGCGTCCGCGCTTATAGGAGGAACCACTTGAGCGCTTTTCAATTAAGAAAAACCAGGGACAACTCAGTTGTTTTTGCTCAGTTGGTGTTTTCTTTCATGAAACGCAAGAAGCCTCCTTAGATTTCCTTAGCCATCAGTGGCTGGAACTCAAGGAGCTCTTACAACCTGCCAGCACCAAAACACTATATCTGAATGTGGTCTCTCTCCACCAAATTCCACATACATTCGGTGCTATGTCGAGCTCCCTACGCTTCAGTGGCCAACGACCACAACGGGCGCAGTCCGTGCCTACTCAGTTAGCCGACGGAACACAAATCGTGGTGCCGCGAAGTCGAGACGGAGACATCTGGATTGAAGCAGGCCCCAATGCATCAACATTGGTTGGGGTATGCAGACTATTCAACACGAAAACCAGAATAACAAGTCAAATTTTCGTTTGCTAGCAGCAAAAACAAAAGCAAAGACCAAGTAAAGATCCCTTCTTCTTCTGTTCATAGAAATTTGAAACAAACACGTAGCTGCAAAGCATTCGTTGGCCCTTTTTTAATGCAACTCATCTGCCAAACACGGTTGCTGTTTTCGCGTAATAACATGAAAGATGATCCCGGCTCAGAACTTAATCGAGCTCTATTGCACCTCACTGATCGCACCCGTAATAAAGATTCTGCAGTCCTCCAATACATCCTGAAACAGCTCCACATCCCTCCTCATTGTCTCAGAGCAATCAATGATGGCAACACATCTGTTGTTCATTCTCACTCTGCTTCTCGGAAAACAATAAAACACTTGACTTGCAAATTGTCAAGGCTGATCCTAACTACAGTTCTGATTTGCTCGATGAAAGAAGCGTTAGTACCACCAGCAATCGAAGCAATTGACAGATCAATTGCTAGCTTCCCCAGTGTCCCCTTAGCCACGAGGCTACGCTTGTTCCTGGTAGTCAAGCGTAGTAATGAAACCCTGAATTTTATGGGGCTGGGGAACTCACTTTATGCAATACAACGGAAACAGTCATTTTTCTTGCAATTGGAAATGTCGGAGCTTATCAGCCGTTGAATTTGAATAAGAAAAATATTAAACACATGACATATTTCTCTCTGCAGCATGCATGTGAAAACTGTTAGCAAGGTCTTACTTCAACAGAATCTACGCCTGATGCATGTAAATGTTTCCACAAGCACAAACAATAGCACATAGTACTCCGTTCCTATAATTCGTCTACCACCTGTTGCATCTCAGGCTTCCGGAATCTTGAATCTTGGCATCTATGGGGAGTGCGGTGTCATAGTTGCTATGAAATTTGGAAATTTTGCGGCCCTGGCTGGCGATGTTTTCGCACTTCCAGCTCTACACATTTTTGGGCAACTCCTGCCAATGTTTTCGCATCCGAAGTTGCCAAAACATCGCCAGGCTCGACTTCCCCAAAAATTGCAAAACTTGACATGCGAAAACCCTCGCCTGGCTCGAATTTCCCCTACATTCCAAAAGTCTGAGCAGCTACGCCCCTGCATAGAATGGATGCAACGATTTTAAGAATTTTTGGGAACTTCGAGCTTGGCGGTGTTTTCGCTATTCCTGCTGTACGAACTTTGGAAAGATTCGGGCCTGGCGATGTTTTCGCATCGGCGGTTGCCCACTTCCCATGATCCACTGCTTACAAACAGCAGGCTCGGCTGGATCATGGGAGGGGCTCTATTTTATTCTGTACCTACATCCAAATCCCGTCCATATCTGCATCTATATTTATGTTCATGTTCATGTCCGTTTCTATTTTTGTTTCTTTTATTTCTGTTCGTAAGCTGTGTTTTTTTTTTTTTTTCCGGCGCACCTTTTTGCGACGGCAGAACGTGTCCGGTCGACCTAGAGTAGTTTGATGACCTACCGTTGCATACCACTGAAGAGGGTGCACTCAAGGCACCACACTGCAGCTAGCGGGGCTGTGTTTATATCTATAATTCATGTCACATTCCCTTTTTATAAATGATATTTCATGTTCTACTGATATAGTTATAGATGCTCGCTGGGACCGAGGCGCTCGCCCGCGCCCTCGCGGTCGGTTGCGAGCTGAGTCCGAGTACAACGGTTGTCAGCGTTGACGCTGTTGGTGCGTACGATCACATAGCCAGAGCGGCAATCTTTGAAGGCCTCCGCCGGGATGCTCGCCTGGCTTCGTTGATGCCCTTTGTCCATCAATTCTACGGCCGCGAAAGCACGTACCTCTTTTACGACCAACAAGGACAAACACACGAGGTGCCCAGACGGAAGGGGGGGAATAAGGTGACCCCCTGATGCCGGGCTTATTCGTCGTGGGCATCCACCCAGCCCTTCTGGCGGCGCACGCCGAGCTCGGGCCGCGTGCAGAACTCTCTGCTTTCTTGGATGATACGTATGCGTCGTGCGACCCGGCAGACGCATGCGCGGCGTTTGTTACCTTGCGCACGCAGCTCAAGCGTCACGCCAACATCGATGTGCATCTTGGCAAGACGCGCGTTTGGTACTTTACTGGCGAGCAACCCCCAGGCCTTGCTGAAGTGCTCCCTACGGTGCCGGGGGAGGCGCCCATATGGGTCGGTGACCACTCTTTGCCACCTGAACAACAAGGCTTCCTCGTACTGGGCACGCCGTTTGGAAGCGAAGCCTTCAAAAAGGATGAAGCGCTCAACCACAGCCGCATCTGCTGCACAGAATCCCAAGCTTGCCAGACCTTCAGTCGGCGTGGTTGGTTCTACTTATGTGTGCCGCGCCATGTTGCAAATATCTTCTCCGGTCCTTGGCACCTTCCCTGACGGACGAGATCGCACGCAGCCGCGGAGCCTTTCCTGGTGGCTTTCACGAGGAAGGCAGCGTGGTGGCCTTGAATGCCGAGACCGGAGATATTGTGGAAGTTCAATGCGGCACCCTACGATGCACTACCTCATACTACCTCTGAAGCCCGGGGGCTTAGGACTACGCCGGGCCACGGAAGGCCGCAGTGCAGCTTACGGGGCATCCTGGGCAGATACCTTGCCAATCCTACGACAGCGTCATCCGAGAGTTGTGGCGGAGATTCTTCGCCGTGTACAATCCCTCACCGTTGGCGGGACCCACGGGGCAGCGCGAAGCCGGACCGAACTGGCGACCGCTGGGACGCAGCTACAGGAGGCAGGTTTCGCGCTGCCGCCGTAGGACACATTCGCTGCGGGCGGCGTTCCCCCCTTGCGATGGTTGAACGCACCCCTGCAGAGCCGCTGCGAGGGTGGCAACGAGCGGCCGCGGCCCGCTTGGACGCATCCGCCTGCGCGAATCTTTTCTCTAACCTTGACCCGGCTTCGCGCACGTGCTCTCACCGCCTTGCCCACGGCTCCGGAGTTCAGACTTTCGAGCTCTTGCTTTCGCGTGCTGTTGCTCGGAAGGTTGCGGATACCCGTGCCGCGTGCCTATACCGGGCGCCGTTGCGGAGGTGACCTTGGAGAGGGCGGCGGCGTGCGTGTGCCGCGAGGCGGGAGCGCGGGTGGCCGCCAATGTCCTCCTATACGGGAAAAGAATGTTGATGTGCCCTTGACCGACGGCCGCCGCATCGAGGTCTTAGCAAATGGTTTACCCCTGCGGCAGGGCCCGCAGGCATCTGTCGACACCCTCCTGGTGTCACTAGTCACGCGGGCGAGTGACGTGCAGCCGCACGCCGATCGTGTCCCAGGCACGGCGATTGAACAAGCGGCGAGACGCAAACGCCTGCGCAGTTACCCTGAACTCGCAGTCGCTCGCCGTTGCAAGCTTGTTGTGCTGGGCCTGGCCGTACGTCGCTGGCGCACTGCCTGGTGCCCAGCTCCCACCGCTGGAGCAAGCAGTGCGCAGGTGGCACAGGGACCCTGACGTCTCGTTTTGCAGTTGTCCAAAAGGTGCAGGGAAAAAAACAAGAATTCAATGCAACCAGGCCAATGGAACAAAGAAAAAAAGTGTCCATGACTGCAATCTAGGATCTTCGTTCCGGAAACAATCACGTTTCCTGCCATACAATGCCATATGATCCAGTATGATAGTACAATCCAAGGTTTTTTTCTCGCACCTCCAGGACGAGGCGGAATCCCTTAGCCCCAGTGCTGGCTTTCTTGGGTTGGAGAGTACAAACACCCAATGCTCCGCAGAGACCATTGCCCAGATTGTGCTCGGGGCTTCCAGCTGGTTTTCACCCTCTTCAAGCCCAAATGAGTGCCTTGCAACGTTCCCTTTTTTTATACACACACACACACACACACACACACCCCTCTTTTCGTTTGCGGACAGTCGGAGCGCTCCAGTCCTACGTGATTCGTGGAGGTCAGGAAGCCCACACGCCGCCTTCCAGCAGGGCATAAGTCACGCAGCGGGGAGGCGGCTCGCGGGCACGGCCTCAGCATCACGAGCATCCGCCAATATCCGCCAGCAGGTCGCTTAAAGGCGGCTCGGCGTCGCACTCGTCCGCTCCCTCCAGCGGCAACTCGAGCATTGATTGGGCCAGCGCACGTTGCGCCGCCACCGCCAGCATGCCCGTCCAACGGTGCAACGAAGCACGTTGTACGGCCGGGCGTAACGTCGCTGGCGACTCACGGGTGCCAGCTTTGGCCAGTTGTCGGAAGAAGGCAGCAACCTCTCGGCTGAACCTACCGCCAACCTCCGAGCAGCGTGGCAGCAACTGTGCTTTGCAAAGCTACGCTCAAGAAGCCTCACCAGCGGCGCATCCAACCCTGCCTGGCCGTGGGACGCAGGGCGGCAGGGGCGCACTCGGCTCGAAGGCGCACGAGTTGGCTGATCACACGAAGCGACTCAAAACTCCAGCGCCCTCCGACTTCGCATGCGAGGACGCATGCGCGCTATGGTCCTGCTCGCAGCAGCTCAGGGTAAGCTGCATGCCTGCGCCTTTCAGCGACAGTGATGGCAGCACCGTTGCGAGAGGCAGCACAGGGCTGGGGCCTCCCTTCGCGAATCAGAGGCGAAACGAAGGTGACATCGCAACCCAACGCCTCGCCAAGCGGTGTAGCCCCGTATACACAGCAAGAGAGGCGTGTCCGGAAACGACCGGCGGCGAGCCACGCGTTTGCGTGCGGCCCGGACTGCGAACGCAACATGGCTGGCATGGCCTGGCCACAGGGTTGCAAGGTAGGCAACAACTCGGTCTCGCGGAAGTGGGCGGAGCAAGCGCGAGAGATGTGGTGCTGCCAGCGCTGGCGCCTCTTGCCAGGTTCAAGCAAGTGGCATTGTGCAGGGCGCAGGCCATCATGCAGGTCGTGCCAGGGAGGGTGGCCTTGCCATCCGGCACCGTCGAGCGCACAGCCAGCCTCTGCAATGGCTCGCAAGCAGGCAGCAGCAGCAGCAGCAGCAGCAGCAGCAGCAGCAGCACCACCACCACCACCACCACCACCACCACCACCAGCAGCACCAGCAGCAGCAGCAGCAGCAGCAGCTGGAACGGGCAAGGCATCGGCCCAGGCGGCCCAGTAGGGGCGGGGCGTTTGGCGCACTGCAACCCCAGACCTCCCAAACGCGCAGGCAGGAGCTCGAGCCGGAGTGCTGCAGCGACGTCAGGGATCGTCAGGGCCGGCGTCGTCCGCTGCGCCCAAGAGCTCTAGGAGGCATTGCAGAAGGCGTCGTCATGGCCTCGCGCATAGCCAGCGGAGGGGTGGGGTGGTAAGAGTGGTCGGCACTCGGCGAGGCACGCATGGCCAATACGGATATACATATGAACACATAGATAGATGCCCATACAAATATGGGTACAATTACAAATGGAGCGAGTGGAAAGCGCGTACTGGAACGGGCTACACACTTCCAGGAAAATGTCAGATGCTTGTTGGGCGAAGGTCCGAGATACTAAGCGACGGAAGACGTCTCCCATGACTAGGGCACGTATGCCTCCATGCAACTTCCGCAATGCGACCAGCCGCCCAAGACGGAGGCCGTCGACGACCTTCGCCGGCAAACGTCCTGCGGCGAAGAGTTGGGCGGCATTCAGGAGTAGATCGGAGCAGGTTTCGTCGTCAAGTTATGTACGCAAATGTTGCTCCCCGCCGGGCCCCACGCAGGTTGCCAAAGAATTTACCCGCATCAAGTGCCATATGCCCGTTCTTTGGGGAAAAGCTGGGGAGCCATTCCGGGAGTGGCACTTGGCGTGTTTGGGGTTGTTTGGAAGGGTCGTGCAAAACTGCAAATGTCTCGTCGGTGGCAGGGGCGAGCGGGGAAGCCTCAAGAGCTGCCCCAGCGGCAGACAGTTCACCCAGATGTGCCAGTGCGACAACCCGCTCGGCCCGCCGCTGTGCGTCCGAGGCGTCGGAGGCGGTGGAGGGCCCGGCACGTCGAGTTGGTGCTGGCACGCGGCAACGTTGCTGCTGGGGCTCCGGTTGGGGCGGCCTCAGCGGCCTTGCAAAGAAGCTCGTCCCAGCGGTCCTGCCACAAATGGTCAACGCGCCTTGTTAACTCTTGTGGTGGGACCCGCGTTTGGCCTCGCTCACGGTACAACAACATGCGCGGCGCCAGGAGGAACAGCTCAAGCCCCGCGCGTAGCGCTTGGCGTAAAGCTCCCCGGGCGAGCTTTGTAACGTGTATACTCGCCGTTTCAACTCGGCACCGAGGTCTGACGCAAAGGCGCCTGCGCTCGCCGCAGGGCGCCCTTGGGTCGGCGGAGCGTGCGTGTGGGTCCCCACTTGGAATCCTAGTTGTTTTATAAGTAGTTAACATAGTTATGTTAGTTAGCTAAAAAATTGGGTGGAATTAGCTTAAATTATAAACATCAAACTTGTAGATTTAAACTTTTGTGTTTTGGCATTAAGGTTTAGGAGTCTGATATGAGAAGACAATCACTGGAGCATAAACACTGGTATCGGAAATCAAGTATATAAAACATGTACCTTGTCGAACAAATCTAAAGCAAAAATACGTCTCAATGGCCTGCATGGGCAGGCTGTGGTGCATGGCCATATAGGGCTGGACATGTCATGTGCATGTGGTATAGCCTTGCGGCGGAGTGAGAGGCACTGCTTTTTCAATGCCTGTGGTACACTTGGTACGGTAGCAGCACAGTGGCCTCGCTCTCTGTGGTCTTGCTGTACACCAGTGGGTACTGCAAGGAGTCCATGGACACGAAGCCTTGCTCGTTGGTGATGGAGCACTTGGCGAACTGCTTTGTCTTCTGTGTCTCTGTTGGCCTCCAACGTTGGACGAGTGTGGCTTTGTCGCTTCCAAGCTCCAAATGGCGAAACAGCCCGGCCTGTGTCAAAGTGGTGATCTCGGTTGCGAGCACCTGGTTCAGCAAGTGGATCTCGAAGGCGGCGGTTTTCTGGAGCCTTGTGGCGAAAGCAGAAATGGTCTTGTGCTTTCGTTCGCTCGTAAACGTGGATGGCAGGCAGCCATGCCGTTGGAGAATATCCGGCAAGTGGAGCAGCCAATGTCATTTCCTCATCAATGGCACGTCGAAGTTTGCCTGCTGGAAGCTCTGGATGGACTCTTCCGCAGCCTTCAGAAGGCTGGCTCTGGTGGTGGCCCCATACATGACCCCTTCGTGAACCTGGTCTATCAAGCAGGCCTGGCTCAGGAAAGCTTGGCAAGCCTCTGGGCAGGTTCCGCTTGCCACAACAACCGTGTGCAAAAAATGGCGAATGACTGGATAAAGCCCTAGCAGGTCCGAAGCTTGGCAACTGAACTTCTGGCTGCTCTTGTACTTGGCGACCTTGCTGGTGTCGAACAAACCAGCCAAGTGACCGGCCTTGGAAGCACCTGGAAAGTTCCACATGCTTATGTCAGGCTTATGTATGGGCCCATGGCCTCCCAAATGTTGTAGTGCTCAGAGATGGATTGGAAGCTCTGGAACAGCACGACTGGGGCCGCTCCTTGCAGAATGCCGTGCATCCAGTCATGGCAGAACTGGCTGACTGGCTTCACCTGGTTCTTGGCCAACAAAGTCTGGTTCAGGAGCAAGGCCTGGGGGTTCCAGGTCCAACGGTGGCTTGTTGCCAATGCGAGACTTCTGCTTTGGTCCTGCACGTGGCTCGCCTTTCGTTTAATCAGTTTAATCTGTGGTAGGACTGGATGACGTCTTCATTCATCAGTGGTCAAAACCAATTGGCTGTATTTGGCGGTGCGATGGTCCATGATGTCCTGGTTGTCGCCTGTGGGTGGTCCTGAGTGGATGTTGGCGCATAATATGCAAAATTGGAATTTGGTACCAGAATCAGGGGAGGCCATGCTGGCGGACTGCTGGAAGCTGATCCAGCCAGCTGCCTGCGGCCACTGCGGAGAACCAGAAGAGGACACTCCATCTCTACAGATGCTATGCAAGCTTTGTCTGAGGACCATCCTTTTCATTGTGAAGAAGCAGAAGCATGCCCCAGACCAGCTGAGCTTCGAGAGCTTGCCAGAGATCCTGGACAATTTCACCAAGGAGGTGTCGGGCGCGGGCACCCCAAGCCAGGCGGCCTCCAGTGAGACAGCCAAG